ACTGGGGGGAGGGTAGCGGGGCTGGGGGGGGGGGCGAGGTGGAGGGGGGGAGGACGCGGGCATAGCCACACCGCAAGCCTTTTTCTCACTGGCCTTTTCCGGATTCTTCGCCCGTCATGCCCAACTTTTCAAAAGTTAGCATTCTGGAGGAGACGAGGCGCTTTGGAAATGTCTCGTTAAAGCTAAATGTCACTTCAGCCAGAAATGAAAGGGCGCTGCCGCCTCGTCAGGGTGGACGCATCTTTGGGGGGAGTGGAGTGATGGGGTGGGCGGGGTGGGGGGGCCGGGGCCAGGGCTGGGCACTCAGTTGGGGTCTTCACTGGGGCCGAGGGCTCACAGGCGCACTTTCTTCGTCTCCCAGGAAGGCAGAGGCCACGGAAACGCTCTCACAGGGCCTCTCGGTCTCAGGAGATGGAGTGTGTGACACGGGTCACTTAAGAGTGCAGCTCAGCTAACTGGGGCTCTTCCTAAGTGCCCAGGTACGCAGATGCTGCCTCGGGCAACCCGGTCCTATTGGGCCACCGAAGCGAATGGCCTGGATCTGTGTCCATGCAGCGGGCCCTGAAGCTGGCTGTGTTTGGGACTGGGAAGAAGCAAAGATGTTTTCCTGGGCTGAGTGCTGGCGGGCCGGGCCGGGTATGGGCTGGAGTGGGCTACGCTGCCCTGATGCCAGGGATGCTGCCAGAGGAGACCTAACCCTACCCTCTGGGCGCCGGAGGGGAAGAGGGTGACCTTCATCCCTGCTCTGGCCAGTCGGGGGCCTCCTGGGACCCGGAAGAAAACGGCTGCAAAAGGCCAGAAGAGCTGAGCGGGGAGCGGGGAGGAGGCAGGGCCCCCCCTTGCCCGCCTCACCCCCATCTGCGAAGAACATGCTCCCTGGGGGACAGCTGGGAGTGAGAGAAACCGCCAGCCCCGTCGCCCTTTCTCCCCGCAGTGAGGTAGAAGGGGTCAGCGAGGACAAGAGAGGAGGAAGGGGAGAGTCAGGTCACAATGAGGTCACCGCCCTGTCCCAGGCAGAGGCCGCGGTGTGGTGGCCGCTCACAGTCTTCACAACACCAGCCCCAGGGGCACCTGCAGACAGATCCCCCGCCCTGCCACCAGCCACAGACACCGGCCACGCCCCCCTTCCCCCAAGGGGACAAGGACTCAGAAGAGCAGAGAAGCCCGACTTCAGCCACCAAGGGGCCGCGAGGCCTGTCCGCAGATGCTTGTTTCTCAGCCCTGGGCACAACTGTGGTGACTGTGGGCGCAGGGCCCCGTCCCCCACCACTTGCCAAGTTGCTATCTGAGCTGCCGGGGCCAGCAGGACGTACTTCACCCTAGACCTGGATGTCCCCCACGAACAGGGTGGTTGGCACCGGGGTCAGGGCCCAGGGGAAGAGGCGGGGCAGGGAGGTTTGTGCTTTGGCAGCCGGCGGCCCATGGACAGCCACCACCCCTGGGCTCAGTCTCAGCCCTGCACCTGACAGGTGGCTGGCCCTGCCCCAAAGAATGACCGCGAGGAACGCAAGCAAGGGTGTGGCCATCGGAGTGCGGCCAGGAACTGAGGATGGAGATGCTCGAAAAAGGCTGTGGCTGGGGCCACACGCCACTGCCCAACCTCACACAGCGCCAGAGAACATGGGCAGAACCCCGGGGTCAGGGCTGAGTGGGCCCGGTCAGGCCGAGCCTCCACTTAGCCAGCTAAGGAATGGCAGAAACCGTTATGAACACTGCCTCCAATTAACCAAAAGAAGCCGTTTAAAATGGTATAATAGAGCTTGTAATTAAGTGTTAGTGTTTTATACAGAACCGTTTTCCCCAGGGGAGAGGTACAAATCAGCTTTTGAAACCGATGGAGCGGGAAGAGGAGGAGGTCGGCTGCCGGTGGGGGCGGCTTGGGACGCCAGCCAGCTGTGGGGGCGAGGACGCTGGTCAAGGCACTTGAATATTGCTTATCACGATGAAAGATCAACCCTTAGACTTCGGCTGAGGGGCCCAGTCCCCCCCACGGGGTTCTGTCATTTCATGGCAGCGCTTGGAAATATTACAGTGACGGCTGAACACATAAAGAACAGAGGGCTGGGATCTCAACTGGAAGAAAAAAAATAATAAATAGAGGGGGTAAAAAAATACACAGAACTGCAAGCAAAATGGAACCAACTGATTGTATCGAGCGGCCAGATATAAGTCTGGCAAAAAAAAAAAAAAGACAATGGAAATCAACTACAACCTCGTCAACAAGCCCCGCCCCCCAACAAAAAATGGCTAAACTGCTCGGAAGAGTCACGGTGGCTGCCCTAGGCTGTGGCTACTTGCCCATCAGGATGGACAAAGTTCTCCTTTTGCGGTTTCCTCAGATGTCAACACCTTCGCAACAGTCAGGCCTTCGCATGGAATATGCCACCCTGCCACTTCCTGCTGGCACGCCCTGCCCTGCCCTGCCCTGCCTTTCATTCCGGGGAAAGTTGTGCGCTTTGGAGAGGCTTCACAGGCGCCACGACGACAGTCCCTCGTCCCTTGGGGGGGGTCGCACGGAGAGAACAGACACTAGTCATGCACGCGGCACGGCACAGTCGGGGAGTGCCACCTCCTCCCCCACGCCCCTCGACGCCTCTGACGGGATCCCCCCTGTCACCAAGCGACGACCGAGCCAGGGAGGGCGCCACCGACGTTAGGATGAACTGCCTGCCCGCCCGCCTCCGAGAGCCTTCTAGAAACTTCATGCTCAGGAAAAGGCATTGTCTTTAGTGTCGTGACTCTTTAAATTTGTGAAGACTTGAGCTAAGTGCTGCAGTCGCAGGCTGGAAGCCGGTAAATGGGAAACGTAATTCCTAAAACATCATGCAAGAAATGCGGCTTCACCTCTTACAGTCAAAGTCCTACAAGTTAATTAGTACAAACACACCGAGGGCGGAGAGCGGGGCATATCTTTAAAATGATAACTCCCCCCCACCCCCACCCCCCAAAAAAGGTAATATTAATTCAACTTAAGAAATAATGAATGCACCATTAAAATGTCATCCAAAGATGTTGACCTAAGGTAAAGGTTTCAATGATACACAATTCGGTCAAAAAAGTTCTCAATCAGTAATATACAGTAGGACAACTACATCTTGTAAATTATACCCCAATACTGCCGGCAGTCTATCCCGCTAAAGAATATTTGCCCCTTTCATCCCTTCCTAACAATCAGATAATAAAATACAGCACCTATAAATAAGCAAAAAAAAATATATATATACCGAAATCATCTATTGTTAGTTTAAAGATATGGCAATAAAGGAGTCTAAATTAGCAAACTTGTAGAAGCCATAACTGATACAACAGCTTATTGAAAAAAGGTGGCAGTAATGCACTCCATGTGTGCCCAGGTACTTAAGAAAATACACAGACGTATAAAATTGCACACACGCACGCACGCACACTCACACCCACCTCTATTCCCACGCATATACACATAGACAACAGGAGGAATCAGAGACAAGTTAGACTCTTGATTTGTACTCAGACTGCCCTAAACTGTGCATGAAAGGATGGTTCCGAGAGGCGCAAAAGAAAAGGTGGGCTGGGGGTTCTGGTCTGGAAGTGAAGAGCATCAGCATTCTGGGGGGTGGGGGGTGGGGGAGAGGTGGGGCCCCCCCCGAGGGGTGGGAGCGGAACCCGAGTGCCAAGCTTCCCGCCGCGGGCGCGCAACAGACATCAGTGCTTGTGGGGGGACTTGAGGGGGTCGACTGCGCGCCAGAGCCCTGCCGGGGGCCCAGGGAGGGGCGTCCCTGGTGGGGCTCAGTCCATCGGGCGCCCGGAAGCGCGGAGTGACGGCTGGTGCCTTCCGGGCCGCGCCCCGGGCCCGGGAAGTGCCCGCCCCCACCCGGCTTCCCCCTCTCCCTCCTCTTTGAGTGCTCGCGCGCGGGTGCAGACGCGTGGACGGACGAAGACGCGGGGAAGGGGAAACGAAGGAACGGGAACGTGCTACAGTTCGAACTTGTCTCCTAAACCTCCGAGATATGAGGTCTGATTAGCGTGCTCTGCGGTTAGAGGTTAAAAAGCAGATTAAAAAATACCTAGATTCGGATCTTTTTTCTTTTCTTTCTTTCTTCTTTTTTTTTTTTTTTGTCCTGATTTGGCCTAGAATGGAGTGTATTAAACAGACTCTTGGGCAAAAACCCCGAGCCAGTTAAAGCTATGGATCAATGTATACATGTCAGGGTTCTAGTTCAAGGACAAGAAAACACTACGTCAGCTACCACAAAACCAGAGTTTCCTGATGCGACTTTGCTGCTGCTTTTTTTTTTTTGTTTAAAAAATAGGTGGAGTAAATGTGTTTTATTTTCATTCAAAGTTTCAAACGAGAAGATTCTTTACTTGAAAATATTTAGGAATCCAAACTAGTGTGTTTAGAGTCGGTGTGACTATGCAATCTCTTAGTGGCAACTGAAGAGCTACAAAAACTTTTAATTTTTCTGAAAAAATCCCCCCGCCCCCCCTTTTTTTTCCTGGTTTAAGAAGATAATAGTGTATTATCGCTCTGAAGCCATTAGATGGCAGATAAAAAGCCCCCTTTTAATATGTGGGTTTGATTTCTTTTTCTTTTCTTTTTTTTTCCTTTTTTTCTTTTTTTTTTTTTAAAGCCCACACGAAAGAGGAGGGCACAAGGCAAAGCTGTAAGAGTTATTCCAGAACCTGTGGAAATCACTTAGGGCAATAAAAAAAACACTTCAGGGTACAAAAAAGCTCGACTACACATTTCCGTTTTCTTCCTTGAAAACACGACAGAGATTGGGCTTAATGCTCCTTTGTTTTCTATATGCACCTTGGCCTATGGCGATTTTGCCCTGTGGCCCGCAGGGCGGTTAAGTGCGCGACGTCCCGGCGCCCGCGGCGCCCGCCCTCGGCCCGCCCGGCTTGGCCAGACTCGGCCCGACGCGCGTGCGCGTGCGCGTGCGCATGCGCGGCGCGTCTCGTCTCGCCCCCGACGGCGCGGCCCGACGGCGGCGGCGGCGGCGGCGACGGCGCGGCGCGCGGCGCGACTCGCCCCTCAGAACTCCCATTCGATGGGCTCCTCGCGGCTGGCGGCCTTCTCCAGGCGGTGGATTATGCTGTTCAAGTTGGCGGCCTTCTTCTTGCGCAGGGGGTTGTCCCGCGAGTCCCGGGCGCCCGCCGCCTCGGGGAGGCCGAAGAGGCTCTGCAGCGAGCTGGGCCGGCGGGCGGGCGCGCTGGTGCTTGGCAACGCGGCGCCGCGAGCCGCGGGCGCGGCGGCGGGGGGCGGGGGCGGGGGCTGAGGTAGCGGCGTCCTCCCCGGCGGCGGCGGCGGCGGCGTTGGCGGCGGCGCCCGCGGGGCTTGGCACGGGCCGGTCTGCGGGGCCGTCGGCGGGGGGCGGCGGCGGCGGCGGGGCGCGGGGCGCCGGCTCCTCTTCGGCCGCGTCGGGCCCCGCCGGCCCCGGGGTCCCCGCGGCGGGCGGCGGCTCGGCCTTGGCCGCCGTCGCCGCCGCAGCGGCCTCGTCCCGCTGCTGCTCCTCCGGGCCTGCGGCCGCCTCGGCCGATCCTCCCTGAGACTTGGCGGCGGCCGCGGGGCCCTCGTCGGTGTCCGCGGCGCCCGGGCCCTCGGCGGCCTCCACGCCGTCGCAGCTGTCGCCCTCGGAGCTGGGCGCCGCGCGGCCGCTGCGGGCCGACGGCGAGTCGCTGGCCCCGGCCTGGCCCTGGCTCCCGGCCTGAATCTCCTCGATGAACAGTTCTCTGCGGATCCGAGACCTGCGGGGACACGAGGGGGTGGGGGGGGCGAGCGGTGAGGGGCGGCGCCCCTAAGGGGGTCCCGACCACGCGCCGCCCGCTCCTCGGGAGGGACGCCCAAGGACACCAAGGCAAAGACGGGTCCGCCTCCGTTTTTCTTGTTAAAGAAAAAAACCATATTCCTTTTAGTTCTGGCTTTTTGGGGCACACCCGGCGATGCGCAGGGGACCATACGGGATGCCAGGGATCGAACCCCCAGTCGGCCGCATGCAAGGCGAACGCCCTGCCCGCTGTACTGTTGCTCTGGCCCTATATTCCGTTTTATTTTATGGCCTTTTTGGCCACACCTGGAGGTGCTCAGGGAACGCTCCTGGTAGGGCTCAACGGCCTCGTTGGCGAGGATCAAATCCAAGGTTGGTCACGTGCAAGGCAAGCGCCCTCCCCGCTGCGCTGTATAGCTCTGGTCCCCTTACACTATTTAAAAACAATTTGGGTTGCCCCCAGTGTGGTGCTGGGGATCAGCCCCTAATTTCTTTTTATTTTCTTTTTGGGTGATGCACAGGGGTTACTCCTGGCTCATGCACTCCGGAATTACTCCTGGCGGTGCTCAGGGGACCATATGGGGTGCTGGGAATTGAACCCGGGTCGGCCGCGTGCAAGGCAAACACCCTACCCGCTGTGCTATTGCTGCGGCCCCATCAACCCCTGATTTCTTTACAACCAGTTCCTTCCCTGGGAAAGAGCAGAGAATGGCAAATGTGTGGGGAAGTGGGGCTCCCAGGTAATGCCGAGTGGGGGGACCTAGGATGGTCGAATGGTTCAGTGCTTGGACCCAGCGGTGTGCTGGCCATGAGGGTCACATGGAGGAGCTGGCTACTGTCATAGAGGGGCAGTCAAACTCGGGTGCCTCCCCCCACCCCCACTACCTCCCCAGCCTCAAAGGGTGGCTTTTGATCAAGGTGGACTAATTCCGAATCTGCTACAGCAGCACAGGGAGGGCAGAGGCCACTGTGTCTGGGTGTGGGGGCCGGTGCTGAGGAGGGCTCTGGCCTGCTCCCCGGGAGCCCTGTCCACCCTCATTTGCTCTGGAGCATCTCCCATCCCCGCCGTGCTCACAGCACCAGGCCAGAGGCCCTGACATCATGGATGCCCTGCTCTCAAAGGGCCAATGGAGCCTGACATGGACCAGACGGCTGTCCACGGGGCAGAACCTCCCACTGGGCTGGGCTGGGCCTGCGGACCACCCACCCTTGGCGGAGCCCGCCACCTGGAACTCAGGCTGCCATGCTGTCATGGAGGGCCTTTCTCTGGGGATGCGGGATCGAAGGAAACACACCCAGGTGGCTCAGGTGGGGAGCTGGCACATGGACGTCCCAGGATGCAGAGACAACAGCCTCCTTGGCCAGGATCTGTCTCTAGCACACGGAACCTTCTCCTTCCTGTCCAAAGGGCCCTGGCCCAAGGCTCACATACTGCCATGGATTTTAGGGTTCATGGAGCTTCTGTGGGTACATCTGGGACTTGTGTTGTGCTGGCTGCCCGTACACCTGTCTTTTTTTTTTTTGCTTTTTGGATCACACCCAGAGATGCTCAGGGGTTACTCCTGGTGGTGCTCGGGGGACCATATGGGATACTGGGAATCAACCCAGGTTGGCCATGTGCAAGGCAAACGCCCTACCTGCTGGGCTATTGCTCCAGCCCCCTGACTGTCTTAAGAGGGGAAGCTTTACTTTTTGGGTGGGGGCATGAGTGGGTCCCAGGAGTTACTTCCTGAGGGTTCTGGTGGGGAAGGGGAGAAATAAATACCTTCCAAGCACCAAAAGGTGCTAAATGTGTAAGGTACTGACTTCCGGTTCAGGACCTGCCCCGCTGCTGCTCTGGGGGCACCAGCTCTGGGGGTCCTCAGCATTCACGGGACAGTGCAAGCCTGAGGGGCCACAGAAGTGCCGTTGGCAGCTGCTGGCTCTACCCTGGGGAGCCTCGGCCCTGGCAGAGGTTCTGTGGGCTTCAGGCCTGTCCTCAGCCACCTCATCCCACGGACTTTGGACCTTGGAAAATTCCTCCAGAGTTTGTGTCTTTTAAAACTCTGCCTGCTTGGCCTGCAGGGTATTCCTTTTATTTTCTAAAAATTTTTTTCATTTTTTCTTTTGGCTGGTGGTTGGTGATGGTGGGGGGGGGGGGAGTCGGGGGAGGGGAAAGGGGCAGGGGAGGTAGGGAAGGGCACTTCAGTAGTTCTCTTGCTCCTGGCTCTGGGATGCTCAGGGATCACTCCTGGCAGCCTTGAGGGGCTGTATCGGGTGCCTGGGTCAGCTGTGTGCAAGGCAAATGCCCTCCCCACTGTCTTCTGTCTTGCAGGGTATTTTTCTCTAACTGTCTTTGGATCTCTCCTAGTCTCTCAGCCCAGCTTGTTTTGTTGCTTTATTGGATCCTTTTTGATTTCCATCAGCAGTACTGGGGACTAGATCCCAGATCTCACACCGCTGACATGTACTTTGTCACTGAGCACATTCCTGAGCAATAAAATGTGTAGCACTATAACACTATACTCCTGTTGTTTGTCTTTTTTTTTTTTTTTTTTTGCTTTTTGGGTCACACCCAGCTGATGCTCAGGGGTTACTCCTGCCTCTGCACTCAGGAATCACTTCTGTCGGTGCTTGGGGGGACCATATGGGGTGCTGGGAATTGAACCCAGGTCGGCCGCATGCAAGGCAAATGCCCTACCCGCTGGGCTGTTGCTCCAGCCCCCCTCCTGTTGTTTGTTGATTTGCTTGAGTGGGCACCAGTAACATCTCCATTGTGAGACTTCTTGTTACTATGTTTGGCATATCGAATAAGTCATGGGGAGCTTGCCAGGCTTTGCCATGCGGGCAGTATATTTATTTTTGCTCTTTTGGGGGCCATACCTGTTGATGCTCAGGGTTAATACTCTTGGCTCTGCACTCAGATCACTCCTGGCAGTGCTTGGAGGATCTGATGGATGCGGGTACCGAACCTGAGTTGGCCACATGCAAGGCAAATGCCTCCACGTTGTCCCGTCACCCAGGCCTGGGCCCAGGCCAGACCATGTGTTCTGATCCTGTTGGTTCTCTCCTCTCCTTATTCCAGCACTGGGTGGAGGGATGCAATGACTTATGCTGAGTGCACAGCATTGCCAGACCAGTAGACTGGCCGGGAAGCCGGGGAGTCCCTGGGGTCTGGGAGAAAGGCGCCCCGACAGGGCCTGTTGAAACGGCCTGGTAAGGAGGGGCAGCTCTGCCCAGAATCGCAGTGACCTTTGTATAACCCCTGCCAGGGCTACCACCAAACTTGGATTAAATGAGCTTGCAAAAGACTTGGAAGCTTCTGGTGCATCTCTGCATCTAGAAAGCGAGCGCGGGGTCACAGAATCCAGGCTGGGGGAGGCCCAGGCTCATCTTGCTGCTCCCCACCCTCAAGGCTTTATCTCTGTGGAGGGGCCGGATGTGCTGGTCCCCTGTCCGTCCTTAGTGCTCACGGCACCCACGCCCTAGTCCCTTTCTGCAGTGAAGGGGTACTCTGGCTCCCAAGGTACTGACAATTTCCCCATTTGTTCACCATTTGGGAGGTCTGGCGACCCTTTTAGAAACCCTGGCAGAGCACCCCCATGAGATGAGGGCTGCTGATTTGGGGACGAGTCCCCTTCCCCTAGTTCCACAGGTGAGCCTGCACCCTGGGCACGGCCAGGACACCCAGCCCATTAAGAAGTGGGGGTCTAGAGAGAACTAGAGAGAACTATTGACCCAGATGGCTGTTCAAAAATGTTAAATGTGTGGAAATTTCCATCAGGCCCAGTGGTGCTCAGGACTTATTCCTGGCTCTGCACTCAGGGATCTCCCTTGGCAGGCTTGGGGAGCCATATGGAATGCCAGGGATTGAACCTGAGGCAGCTGTGTGCAAGGCAGGTGCCCTTCTGGCAGTACTGTCACTCTGGCCCTGGAAATTACCTTCCAAATATTTTTTTGTCTTGTTTTTGAGCAACACCCAGAGGTACTTAGGGCTTACTCTGGACTATACTCAGATCACTCTGGCAGGGCTCAGAGAACCATCTGGGTTTCCCAGGGTGGAGCTCGGGTTGGCCGTGCACAAGGCAAGTGCCCTCCCCACTGTACTATTTCTCTGAACCTGGAAATTCTCAGCAGTGGAGTGCTGCTTCCAGCCGTGGCCAAACATCCCTGAGCTGCCAGGGACCTTCAGATAGGGGGATGAGGGTTCAGCCCCTCTGCCAACAGTAGAGCACCTATATCCCTGATGGCAGTGTTAGCTTTGAGCCCCGGGCAGGTTAAGACCTGGAGCTCCAGGGCCACGGAGTGATAGTACAGTGGGTTGGGTGTATGTCTTGCACGGAGCTGACATGGGTTTGATCCCCGGCAGCCCAGATGGTCCCCCAAGCACCACCAGGAGCAATCCCTGAGTGAAAAGCCAAGAGTAGTAGGCCCTAGCACTGCTGGATGTGGCCCAAAACACACACAGACCCCCCCCGAAGCAGGCACTCGGGAAATCTTCACTCACTTGGGGACGTTCCTACTTTCTTGATCACAAAACGTTTTGGGGAGCTGGGAGAGAGCCTGGCGCGCGCACCAAGGATCCCAGAGCAGAACCCTGCTGCCTACATGCTGCTGTGCCAAGTGGGGGGACTGATGCCCAGGGCAGCGTGGGTGCCTCTACCCTCGTCAGTTCTGGGGTCACCAGGACCTGGGTGGGGCAGAGGCGGCGGGCACGGGGCGCACCTGTAGTTGTGGAACCAGTTGATGACGGTGCTGGTTTTCAGGTTCAGCTGTGTGGCGAGCTCCTCGATGGTTTTGGGGGACGGGTATGGCTTCTGCTGGTAGGCCCGCTTCAGGGCTTCCTTCTCCTCTGGAGCCAGCACCACGCGCGGCTTCTTCAGCTGGTGCTGGGGCTGGGGGCTGGCCCCCTGGCTGTAGTCGATGCCCACAGCGGGGGGCTCGCAGGGCTGGCTGTCACTCACCGAGCTGTGCCGCCGCTTCATGTAAGCTGTGGAAGGAGAAGACACGGACTGAGGTGACGCCACGAGGGGTCCCCCAGCCCCGCGGGTCCTGGTGTTCACACTGGTGGCAACAGCTGCAGGCGGCGGCCGCCTCACTCTTCCAAGGGCTCTTCTCTGAGCACTTGGATGAGAACGTTCTAGAAGCCCATGTGCCAGCAGAACCTGCTCTAGTGTGCACCGAGGTCCTGGCTGCCCTGCACACTAGTAGTTTAGGGAGGGGCACCGAAGGGTTCTGAGTGATGAGCCCTGCGGATTCCACCGAGGGTACCATGGGGCAGGCATGGAGAGAGCTGGCTCAGGGGGCAGGTGGGGCAGCCCTGGAAACATAAGCAGCAAGGAATGCTTGGTGCAGCTGGTCAGCACCCCCTACCCTGGGGCAAGACCCCCATTCTCCAGGGAGACCGCGCTCAGGGTCCTGGTACCTGCTGACGCAGGAAAATTGCCAAAGGAGCGGACAGGAGGGGCTGGGCAGGGCTGTTGTGGGCGGAGAGAAGCGAACTCCATCTCCATTCTGGAGTTTGCCATAATGTAGTGACTTATGCTCTGGGGGATGTGGTTGCGGCTCCAGGGCTCTGGACAGACTGCACTGCTGGGGAGCCAGGCGGCTGTGTAGTGGGGGGCCCTGCTAGGCCAGCAGGCTAGCCCACAGACGGGCCGAGGAAGGGTGGCGGAGTTGCTCCCTGGGCCCACAGCTCCAGGCCTGCATGTGTGCCCTTCCCACGCCCGCTGCTGCCACCAGGCCGGCCGGGGACACCCAAGCCTGCAGAGCTGGGCCCTGGTGTCTAAGCTGCCGAGATCCCCAGAGGGCCTGCAGACAGGAAGCGTCCCTGATGTGGAATCCGTTCCTGGGGATTAGGTGGCAAATTAGGTGGCTCCAAGATGCCTGGGGACAGGCAGGAGGGACACTGACAGTGTTGGCCGAGGTGACGTGGGGCCATGTCCCTGGGGAGAGCCGGGTGAGAGGCACCGGCTCTGCCTCTGTCCAGGCCAGGAGACCCCAGCGAAGGCCTCGCTGTCCTGACGCCTTTCCTGTCCTGCAGGTGTGACCAGCTCTGTGCTGAGCTGACATGACGGGCATCACGACAGACTCGACCACCAAGTACGCTGTGCTGGCTGGCCGGTGGCCTTGGTCCCCGAGAGAAGAGCGAAGGTCCAGTGCCCAGTGGCTGGGACAATCCACCCAAGGGCTAGTAAGTCTCAGGTTGCCACCCCGGGGCTCCTGGGCACGCCTCCACGGGTGCTCACACCAAGCCCTGGTGCTCTCCATGGGCTGTCACCTCTCCCCTGTTCTGCATAAGGACTTTGGGGGAGAAACGGCGCGTTCCCAGGGGGTACGGTGGGCGCTGGGTGCGTGTGGGGTGAGGTTACCTTTCTTTTCCATCCTCTTCATGTCCATTAGCTTCTCCACGTTGTTGGGGTCGTTCAACCACAGCTGCATGCGAACAAAGGGCTCCCGGCCCTTCAGGCTGAGCTTGTGCCAGGGCTTCGGCCGGGCAAGGAGGTCGGAGACGGAGCCCTGCGTGAGGCCGAGGATGGTCTCCCCGAACAAACGCTGACCTGGGGAAGCAGAACCAAGAGTGAGATCACCGCTGGGGTCCGGGCACCTGGGAGAGGGAAAGGGAGTCCCAGACTGGAAAGCCAGCGCAAGCTTTATTGAGGTTTATTTCATTTTTGGTTTTAGGGCTACACCACGCGTGCTCGGACTGGAGCGATAGCACAGTGGGTAAGGCATTTGCCTTGCATGCAGCCAACCTGAGTTCGATTCCTCTGCCCCTCTCGGAGAGCCCGGCAAGCTACCGAGAGTATCTTGCCCACACGGCAAAGCCTGGCAAGCTCCCCATGGTGTATTCGATATGCCAAAAACAGTAACAACAAGTCTCATGATGGAGATGTTACTGGTGCCCGCCTGAGCAAATCAATGAACAACGGGAGGACAGTGCTACCAAGCCTGCCGGGCTGGAGCAATAGCACAGCGGGTAGGGCGTTTGCCCTGCACGCGGCTGACCTGGGTTCAATTCTTCCGTCCCCCTCAGAGAGCCTGGCAAGCTACCGAGAGTATCCCGCCTGCATAGCAGAACCTGGCAAGCTCCCCGTGGCTATTTGATATGCCAAAGATAGTAACAACACGTTTCATGATGGAGATGTTACTAGTACTCTAGCAAATCGATGAACAACAGGAGGAGAGTGCTACAGTGCTCCCATGCGTGCTGAGGGATCACTCCTGGCAGGCTCGGGGGACCCTATGGGGTGCCTGAGATGGAACCAGGGCTGGCCACATGCCAGGCAAGTGCTATGGCGCTGGCCCCTGATGCAAGGTGTCAATTCCCAGAAGGGCTCAGGGCCCTGGAGGAAGCGAGTACTCTTTTCAGAAACATTTTTGGGGACAAGAGCTGTGTGGACAATTCCAGGTGACGCCGGGCCTGACAGAGGTGGCCTGCGCATTTGGTGTTGGAGCCCCATGAGTCTGTGGGGGGTGGGTGAGCACTGGCTTACAGGCCCCTGACGCCTGCAGACCTTGGGGGCAGCTGGATGTTCTCAGAGGTGTGTGTACCCATCACGGTCCTTTTGGGGGTGCCGGGCCTGTGCGTGGCCAGCGGGATACTTACCAAGGTTGTTGTCGGTCAGCACCTCCTTGACCCTCTTGGTTATGCCGTAGGTGTCGAGCTCGGGGGACACGGCCACCAGTTCCTGGATGCTGAGTGCCGAGTGGCCCGAGAGAGGCAGTGGGGTGCCGGGCTGCGAGTCGGAGGCGGGCGGCTCGCTGGGCTCGGGGGCTTTGCTATCCTTGCTCGTGTCGATGGCGGGGCAAGGCTGCTGCACCAGCTCTGTCAGGCTCTTCACCGACTCACTGGAGCTCATGGGCGACTCGGGTGCAGGGCTGCAGCTGGCTGAGGTCTTGGGAGTGCTTTCTGCAAGAGACCACAGAAGGCTGGGCGTCAGGGATGCTTCCGTTCTGAGCAAGGGGCGCTGCCCGCATGGAAGCAGGCATGTCTAAACCAGACACCCCATGCTTTCGTGAAGCTGACCCGACCCCAATCTCCAGGCGTGATGCCTGTGCACAGACCAGGAGGAGGAAGCCCTGAGCACAGCTGGGTGTGGCCCCCAAACACCACTGTAGAAAATCGACCTGTTACGTGAACAGAGTGAGCACCTCCTGAACTCCTCCGCCCTGCAGGCAGCGTCACCCGCTTTGAAAAAAAACAAAGGGTCTTTTTTTCTTAAAGAATTGAAACCATTTTCACCAAGGTCCCGGGACTTGCGATACTGTTAGCCATGTGTTTCACACATCCGTTGTTCCCACATGGCGCCTGTCCCTGGAGGTGCTTTCTCCTACCAGTGTCCCACGGGCCCCTCCCAAGTGAGCTCAGTTCTAGATACAAACGACCCTGAACGGGCCCTTGAACGGAGCACAACTTCCTGTGTAAGGCAGTGAACATTCACCGGTGGGAAGACGGGTCCATGCAGGTGTCAGGGGGAGCTGGGTATCTGGGAACCCAGCGCTAACTGTGATCTGTGTGGGCTCTTCAGGGCCAGTTTGTGTTGAGCATGCCCTGTCCACAGCTTCAGAAGTGACCCGGAAGCTCTCACTATCGTAAGCCAGGCTGACCCCATGATGAAGCCCACAGGGGGGTGCCCTGAGGCCTGCTGGGGTCTGGTCACAGGGAGGGTCCTGCAAGGACCCCCATGGAGGGGTTTCCAGAAGCCCCCAGGGGTCATCGGCCCTATTCTGAAGTGGGTGATCCCTGCTGGCCCCCCCCCCCATCAGCAGCACCCCCCAGAACCACCGTCTCTCCTGGGGTAACTAAAGAGGTTGCAGGAAACAAAGGAAAACAAACATCTAGCTCAGTGTGTCGGGGGCAGGTGGCACAGGCCGGGTGGTCACAGGGCGTCAGAGCTGCTCTCACAGGACAGCTCCCCCAAACACTTCCCGACTATCCAGGAATAGCACGGAGGGCCCGAGAGATCACTGAGCTTAATCGGGGCCCGTGGCGGGGGATCTCACACGCACTGCACGTAAGAGGGTGGACATGCCCAGGATTCACATCCAGGAGGATGGAAGATGGAGTCCCCAGCACCAGAAGAGTCCAGAGACCCCCCCCCCCCCAACAAGCAGAATCTCAGCTAAATGAGCTGTGCTCCCGTTCACAAGCCCGGCCTCTGGCCCTACCCGCCCTGCTTGCACGAACACAGAAACATGCCTCGCCCTGGAAAATCGGGTTAGAATCCCCCATTGGCCACTGAAAGATGTAAAAGAGACAGATGCAAACGGCAGAAATGGTCCGTATAAATCTTGAAGGCAATATGGAACCTACAAATCGGATTTCTTCTCCCTGCTCACCTCCAGGTCATCAGACAACTGGAAATAAAACCCAGCAAATGTTATTTTTGGCATCGGGCGCGGCAAGAGAATTGTACTGTAAATTTGCCCTGATTCAACCATGCGAGGGCCCGATCCGGCAGCTCATCCATCTTGCTCACTGCAGACTGTCAGGGACCGCACGAATTCCCCGCGTGATAAACCGATTCCTCCCCGGTCCGTGTCCTTTAACCCACAGCAAGGTCATGCTCACGGCTGCCTGGAAGGGACAGGCTTGAAGCCGCTGGCCCGGGCCTCTGGGTACCGGAACAGAGCGTCCCTCTGGTGTTCTTGGGAGCTCAGAAGGTATATTTTTGGCAAGAAGCAGTTGAGGTGCGCCCGAGGCTCTCGCCACACGTTACCAGGGTCCCTCTGTGCTCCTGACCACATCACATAGAAGCATCCCGCCCCCTCCCCAGATTGGAAGCCTGCTGGACCCGCAGTGACTGTCCATGGGAGCGGGGGCCCCGCCTGCCTCTCCCCTCTGAGTCTGGGTCCAAAATGTCAGGGGCCACTGCAAGCTGAGAATTTTTCTTAGGACATGATTTATTCACGGGCAGACACATGCATGCAAGGTGTTGTGGTGTCTAGTTGACAGGAAGCTGCACGGGGGCCCCCACAGACCCACGAGTCACGCTGGGCTGGGACAGTGATTCTCCCAGAGCCTTTTTCTGGGAAAGCCAGAGCACGTGTGGCAGGGTGAGCACAGCAGTGCAGGGGCCCCTGTGGGCTTTCCTGGCCCCCTGGGAGGGGAGGGCTCATGCCACCCAGCTGCCTCGCCATTTCAGCAGAGTCAGAAAGGGAAACGGGGCTGGAGTGATAGCACAGCGGGTAGGGCATTTGCTTGCACGCAGCTGACCCGGGTTCAATTCCCAGCATCCCGTAGGGTCCCCTGAGCACCGCCAGGAGTAATTCCTGAGTCCAGAGCCAGGAGTAACCCTTGAGCATTGCCAAGTATGACCCAAAAAGCAAAAAAAAAAAAAAAAAAGGAAATGAGTGGTTACTGGAGTGCGGGAGGCACCCGCAGCTCTCAGAACACTGTGGGCCGGGCACTCAGATCCAAACCCCGGGGCTGCAATCCAAGTGCAGCCCTGACAGCCACCACAGGGATGGGTTTTGTGCTTTTCTGCAGCAAGGCCCTGGTGGTGCCTGGGAGCGGCTGTTTGCAAGATACAGGGAGCAGAGCCGGTGGCTCTGGCCCCTCTGAAATACATGAGGCGTTCAGAAACCATAAAAGGACGATGAAAAAATACTAGCTTCCAAAAACAGCAGGGAAACAACAGCTGCTGCTAAGTTTTCAATAGAAGCCGATTGCAAATGCACTCACTCCCATCACAAAATTTCCGGGGACAAATCTCTCTCTCTCTCTCTCTCTCTCTCTCGCGCTCTCTCTCTCTCTCTCTCTCTCTCTCTCGCTCATCCACTGTTTACATTTCCATACCCAGCCCTCGATCTGCAGTAATAACAGCCCAAATTCCATTTAGTGTTCATTTGAGCAGTCGGGATAAAGTCATTTCTTATTATCTCCCCACTGGGTAAAAAACAGCTTGAAGGTAGGAAGTCAGTGAGCATTTTCACCAAAAAGTAATTATTGTAAGTGACATTTTTACTGCTGGCATGCCATAAGGCGAGCTGTGTGCTCAAAGGACAAGTTGCTGAAACAAAATGACAGGGTACTCTGTGACATTCTGACAAGAACCCAAACATTATTTAACTGGTGGCGGGGCTCACGCACCACAACGCGGCGAACATAATGGCCCTAGTGGAGGCGCGGGCCGGTGCCAGCCAGGACATTCCAAGGGACTCTGAGGACGGACACGGGCGGGAAGACGGCAGCGAGGAAGGGCCACCAGAGGGGCAACGGGTGTGCGGAGCCGAGGAGCACGTGCACATGTGAGGTGCAGGGAGGAGGCTGCAAAGCCACCCCAGAAGGTTCTGGATCTGTGGGCACCATTGCCAGAGGCAAAACTGAGACTTTTGAAGCTAGAAGGAGGTGGGGAACTGGGTGTGGAGGAGAGAAGGGCCGTGCAGACAAGGCACAGAACTCCCTGCCTGTAAGGTTGGCTCTGGGGGGTCTATTTTCTTCACAGCCACTTGGGCCCACGGGGACCCTAACCCCTGCGCTCTCCCGGCTTCTAACCACTCCGGGATGAAGATGGGCCCTGCGCTCCCCGCCTTCCTTGGCTTCTCATCTCTGAAAATCTCAGCCCTCTGCCCGCCTCTCTCCTCCATTGCACAGGGGCCTGGGGAGGGGCAGGGTGAGCCTAAGGGTGAGCTGGGCAGCTGTGTCCAGCAGGCACTGAGCCACCTAGCTGCCACCCATGGGCGCTCTGACCCTCCGCCCAGGCAGGGAACAGCAAGGGAAGTGGTTACCCGGCACCCAGCCTCCCACCTCCCTGAATCTGAGATGGGGGGAGGGGAGGCGCACCCGCCCTCCGTGGGTCTGGAGGGCGGGGCCTGGCGATCACATACTTCGGGGCCCAGAATAGGGCACATGAGCGCACCCCGGTGTATTTGAGGCCCCGAGGTCCCCCCCTAGACACAGCATTCAGGGAAGGGCCCCTCAATAAAAGAAGGAAGGGTGGGTCCCTAACCAGGTGCAGGGCCATCGTGGGGGGGGAACTCGCAGGCAGTTCCAGCTGCGTGAGGACGGCTATGGGTGGGGAAGGAGTCTGGGTGGAGGGGACAGGAGTTTTTTTTTTTTTTTTTTTTTTTTTTTGCTTTTTTTGGGTCACACCCAGCAATGCACAGGGGTTACTTCTGGCTCTGTACTCAGGAATTACTCCTGGCGATGCTTGCGGGGACCATATGGGATGCTGGGAATGAACCCGGGTTGGCCATGTGCAAGGCAAATGCACTACCCATTGTGCTATCGCTCCAGCCCCTCTCCCCTTTTTTCCCCTTGGGGACAGACAGGAGGGGTTTCTGGTCTCTTTCCTGCTGGCGGTGCCAAGGATCGAACCCAGGGCCCACTCCTGGCCCAGTGTGCCTCCACCCAGACAGCCGTGCCATATACACAACCCGGGCAGTGTCCGTCGGATGGAGGTCGAGGTGCCTGGTTCGGAACTGCATCCCAGCCCCTTCCCGAGCATGGGGGCTGCTTTCCTCCCACAAAGCCCTGGCCCATGGGGGCTGCTGCATGCGTCTCCCCCCACAAGGAAGGTGGGTCCTGCAAGGTACTGGGGGGGGTCCACCTCCTTTTAGAGGCCATTCTATTCTTTGGGCACCATTTCTCAGCGCCCCAGGAAGCGGACTCGCCAAGAGCAGAGTTTGTGGACCTGAAGAGTGAACAGATCCCCTAAAATTCCAATTCAGCTCTGGTGACAAGTGGGGCCTTGGCAGGGTGGTAGAGGTGAGTGGGTGACAGCTGGCCCTGCGTGAGAGGCTTGGCGCGTGCCTGTCGCCAGCTTCCTTCCAGATCCCATGGCTCAGCGCTGACTTAGAAATAACTCTCTCCAGTTCCCTTCAGTAACCTCCTCACCGACCCAGCTGTATGCGTGCACGCTTCCCCGCGTGGCCCTGTGCATTAGCAGAAAATGTATGTCATGCAAA